TTTTTTCAGTCAAATAAATTTTCTTAAATATGGTTTTTAAAAAAAAGTAGTATTTTTACCGTTTTCAATGTTAAGCGGAACTAATTCGTTGCAAATTATCATTGTTAAGTTTGGAAATTTTTGCACAGCTTTTCATTAATAATTCAGTAAAGCTTTTGTAGCAAAAACTGCTGAAAATCGCGATACGGCTTGGCCATATTAATGCTGTAAGGTATTTGGTGTCCAAAGGAGCTGTCGTCGAGGGGGAAGATAATGAAGATGTAACTCTTTTCAATTCTAACAAAATTTAATTGTGTGCTTTTTTAAGACTCTGAAGCTTTAGCACATTGGGACAAAACACCTTCCACCAACTAAGCCACAAGTGTTAAAAAACAAAATTATTCAATTTCACTAATTGAAAAAAGTAGCCCTTAATCAAAGTTCTGAAATCTTTACTATTTCGCTAGAAAATTTACGAATTTTAATAAATTAGTAGATCCAACTACCTGAACATTTATATACAAATCCGGTGTCGATTAAGTGGTGGGCTAACACCGCTTATTCTGGACCAAGAACCTTAAAAAGTCTGCCATAAAATTAAAAAAAAGATTTTTGAAAAATTATTTGGGGAAGATGTATCATTTTTAATATTTTACTCATAAAAAAAATCAGGCTGAAACGGAATTAAAACTGCTTGTCGTATAACTGTTTCAATTTCCTTGTTTCAGCTTGTTACAGCAAAAAATTCTCCATTACTGATAAAAAAAATGTTTTTGGAGGTTATCTTTAGCTTATTTTAAAGCCGTAGTCTAAGAACACTCAATTTTATTTTAGAAGTCGTCGCTATTCATTGCGTGTAAAAGTGGCCACAGCGAGATCGTAAAATATTTAATTGAAGAGAGCGGATGCAACATTAACATAAGGAATATGTATGGGGTTAGTCATTGAATCACTTGTTAAATACAGTCAAGCCCACTTTTTATAATCAACATTATGATCCACTGTGAGTGCGCTTCAGAAAGCGTCAGTACAAGATTCTCCGACCGTTTTTTGGGATAAAAAGGCTAGAAGTGTAAAAGACAAGCTTATCTTTTATTATATATAGAAACAATTTCGAACAATGTAGGCTGCAACTGTACTGTTAAATCTAAAGAGACTATAGTCAACGATATCTTTTGATTTTCAAGGCTTCAGCGGATGGGTGCGCAGCAAACAGCCGTAGAAAGGTTGTGCTGTGTACCAAACTTGTTCTGAAGTTGCACGTCCATGCACTTCCTCCATATAAAATAGTTGTATTGTTATGTTAAGC